TCCTGGGCATGGGGCCTGCCTTGGAGGATGATATACACATTGATACTCCATAGAAGAAAAATGATTTTTCCCTGATACCCAGCAGGGATCAACTGCAAATAGCTTCCTTCATATGTTAGTAATTTTAAAGTGTGTGTGTGTGTGTGTGTGTGTGTGTGTGTGTGTGTGTGTTGCAGTATGTGTGTACAGAGGGCAGAGGAGGTCTTCAGGTGCCCCCCCCCACCCGTCAGTCTCCTTTAGCTCCTCTAGACAGGGTCTCTCACTGAGTTTAGAGCTTACTGTTTTGTTTTGTTTTTGTTTGTTTGTTTGTTTGTTTTTCCAGCTGTGTTGGCCAGCAAGCCGCAACGATCCTCTTATCTCCATCTGACCCCAGTACTGAAGCTACAGACAGGAGCTATAACCTACAGACATGGTAGCCATCCCCAGCTTCTATGTGAGTACTGAAGAATCTGAACTCGGGTCCTCACGTCTACATAGTAAGTGCTCTTCTCCACCGAGCTGGGTCCCCAGCCTCCACATGTTCTATTAATTACGCAGATGGGAAGGAGTAATAACCTGCATCTAAGTGGGAAAAGGCTAAAAACAAGAACAAGAGGGGCTGGGGACGTGTGGAGCACTTGTCTGGCATGGGTGGTGACCTAAGTTCAATCCTCCATTAAAAAAGAAGAAAGCAGAAAGAAAGAAACATTCTGGACGAAGCTCTGGTCTCTCCATCTCGCTTTAATACAGAATTTTCACACGGCTGCAACACCACCTCAAGAGCAGAAGTATGAAATGTGAGCAACGGAACTTCAAGAATAAAAACATCCTGTTGGGGTGGCTCGTTATTTTACACAAGTATGTTTTACAAGTTTTCAAGTGTGTGGTGTCATCGAAATTTAGAATTACCAAAGGATTATCAAAGCAGGGATGGTTCTTTGAGGAATGTTTCCCTGTAGATGGAGGTCCACAATGCAGCAGCAATGGTCCTCAATGCATACACTGGAGCCTGGGGGTGGGGTGGGGGGGAATAGTGCCGGCCTCATCTCCAGACCTAATGACTCCACAGAAAATGCACCTCTAATAAGCTTCCCTTTTGTTTTGTTTTTCGAGACAGGGTTTCTCTAGCTGTCCTGGATCTCACTCTGTAGACCAGGTGGGCCACAAACTCACAGAGATCCAACTGCCTCTGCCTCCCAAGTGCTGGGATTAAAGACATGTGCCACCACTGCCCGGCTCTAACAAGCTTCTGAATCGGGGAGAGCCACCACATAAATCTACCTGTGGCAGAGGACACAAAACTCTAGCCCTAGGGATCTGGCTCCCTCTTACCATGCTGTGGGAAAGCACAACCTGGACAATACCAGGTAAAGTTCTGATCCTGACTGTGTACATCCTATTATGTAAAAGGATAAACCCCGTAAAGCTATTATCCTTGGGAAAATATATAAGGGTTTATTCCCCACTATTTTATCACTCACACATTCTAGTTCTGAATGGTACCAATCTCTGATTACAGTGAGCCAGGGAAGCTACTTCCACTTGTAAAACTCAAAGCTACCATCGTCTACAGGGTTCCTTTGGCTTTTTCCTAGATGACCCCCTAGCTGCTAGCATGATGAGGGCTGAGCCCAGCCAGAGCCAATTAGGAAAAAGCCAGAGGGAGCTAAAAACACTTTCCAAAGCTGGGATGTGACTCGGTGGATGTGCGAGGTCCTGGGTTCAATTCCCAAGCCATGCCAACAGCAAAAACAGAAAAAGCAGAACAAAATAAAAAAGCAACCCCGAAATCTCATCAGAGGGCGCTGGCTGCCCTCACCCAAGACGAGCAGGGCACAGGCACTCTGCTTTCCCGGGAATAAAGACACCTGCTTCTCCCAGGACAGAGCTCAGCTTCAGGGTCACACTTGCTGTTCACAAATTGATTCCAGCTGAATCTACATTCGGCCAAGCCAGAATGAAAAGCCGGCTCTTGGTCCCACCCCAGGGCTCATGAAAGCTCAGATGCGGGTGGGGGGTGATGGGGGTGGTGGGGGTGGGGGTGGTGGGTTGGCTTCCATCAGGGCAAGGGGGCAGGGCCCAGATATCTGGTCAGCCAACACTGAAGCCGGGTGGTCTTATTTCTAACAGCCCCCGAGGACCAAGTGGACTTTCAGTAGACAATTCATAACCATAAGAAAACAAACTGCAAAATACACTTTCTCATAAAGCTCTGGCTGTAGTTGGCAAACCGGGTCCATGAAATGTTCCTGGGAAACCCCAGCAGTGGGGTGCCTGAGCAGCTAGTATGCACAGCTAGGGGAAGAGCATTCCGGGTTAAGGTCAGAAGAACAGCACCAACATGTTAGCTGACAGCAGGGAGACGGGTGCACACACACATGCACACATGCACACACACGTGCGCATGCACATGCGCACACTCATGCACACACACGCACACACACACGCATGCACGCACAATGCACACACACACATGCACACACACACACGCATGCACACACACAATACCCACACTCACACACACACACACACACGCACGCATGCACACATGCATGCACACGCACACACGCATGCACACGCACACACATGCACGCATGCATGCACACATGCACGCACGCACGCACACACACACACACATGCACGAGCTTTTTTCTTCCTTTCTCACCCTGCCCTGACAGCTGACTGTGACATATGGAGAACCTCCTAATGCAGCCAGCCAGCAGCCACCTGAACGGGCACGAGGCAACGCTTGGCGTCAGCGTTTGTCCCAAGGCAAAACACACCATGGCGAGCGAGGAGTTGAGTACAAGTTAACGTTGGTCTGCGTTTGTGACCAAGGCCAGCCTCAAGTGCCTTAACTTGTCCTAAAGGCCCCGGGCTCCCAATGGCTAAGCCCTGCGGCGATGGCTCTTCATCTTCGGGTGGCACTCTGCCTCCTGTCTGAGCCGACAGTGAAGACGTATGGCAGGGATGGCTTCCACAGCTTCCTTCTGTCCTGGGTCACAGCCCTGCTGCTCAGGACACGGGAGACCTTTCACTCCCAACTCACACTTCTCTGGGTTCAAAACCAGACAGCAAAGCTGCCCCGTGAGCTTTAGTACGAAATGGATGACAGCGGCATCCACATTTATAGACGACAGACCACTGCCATCTTTTCTCCTTTAAAACAGTGTACGTTCATAAAACAGTGTACGTTCATATACCCTACTTACTGTGCGTGTGCATCCATCTACACATGGATGGAGAGGTCGGAAGACAGCCTGTGGGGGTTGGTGGTTTTCTTTCCCCCGGTTGGTTCTGGGGGTCAAAGCCAGGTCACCTGGCAGCAGGTGCCCCTCACCATTTCACAGTCCCCACTGCTGTACTCTCAGCAGTGAGACCACTTTCAGGCTCAGCGTGGATTTTGGAGGTTGGGAGTTGAGTCCAGGCAGCTGGACATTTCAGACGGACCAAGGCCCCTCGGAAGGGAGGGTCCGGGAGGATCCTATGGCTGGGTCTCCAGTGGCCGAGTAAGGCCTCTTGTTAGGGCGTCTCCTCTTCAGGAGCTGACTGGGGGGCAGGCCCAGCGATGGAGAGCTGATACATTTGGGAATTCTGGTTTTGCCTTCTCTCTACTTTTGACGGACAAAGTGCACTTTACAAAAATAAACAGAAATCCGTCATTCCGACCGTTTGGGAGAGAACGGCACAGGGAAGTGACGGGTGCCGTACTCCCCATTTGATACCCCGCTTCCCAGACCCTCCATGTCTGCTTTGCTGACAAATTCACCTTGTGGCCTAAGGTGAAGCCAAACCTCACCGAGTCCACAGAGGTGAACTCATTCCTCCCTTGAGCTCCAGATCTGCAGACGCTACGAATGCCCCTCTGGTCTCACTCTGTGGGCAGAAAAATTTCCAAAAGGAAAACCTTGGCTGCAGCACCTTTCCTTACAGAAGGTAAAACACTCGATGGAGACAGACTCCTGCTGGAGTCAGGCTGGATCTCTCTTCACAGCCCTTATTCGCACGAGGTGAGAAGGCATGGCAGTTGCCAAGTTGTTGGCTACCAGACCCACCAGTCTGTTTAACTCTGGCTAAAAGCAGAGAATAATGGGCAAGTTACCAAATTTCCCCGCTTCAGCTCTAGCGTGAATTCTGAAATGGAAGAAAATACAACACGCATGCTCAGACATACACGACCATTCCCTTTGCCTCACAGTCCAGAGCATAGACAGCATTGTGATTTCCCAAACAAAGACAGGACCCGAAACGTGGGCTGGGAACTAAAGGTAATTTGGTTTTCCAGTTGGGTCTGCACGCTGGCAAATGCTCTAATGGATCATCCTCCATCTCACCCCCAATCAGTTAAAGTAAAGTGTTCTTCCAGTAAACACACTGAGCTCTCTCTGTTATCCAGCATATTCTGCCAGTTCTTTAAACGTGATGGATGGGAGACCAAGTGCAGAAGGCAGGGGGGTGGGGGGCATCGGCAAGAGACACTCCTGAGCAGTGTGGGCCCCCTGCTGCCCACTTCCCTGTTCAGGGACACATGCGGGAAGAACCCTTCAGCTCTCTGGGTCACGAAGAAAGAAAGCTATGTCCTTGCTCTCTTTGCCACAATTTCACAGGAGCCCTGGCTCGGCAGTGACTGCCCGGGCACTCAAGGATGGGCCTGCACTATGCCAGCTGCCGTGGGAAGATGTGGCCCAGGAAGGGAACACCTGCATATGAAGTTGACCTTCTTTCTACACACTCCACGCTCAGCTCCAGCCTGCTTCAGGTCTACAACACGGTTCAGCAAATAAACCAGCGAGGTCAACACGCCAGTTCAAAGCAGAGCCAACCACATTAAGCCCCGAATAACGAAACTTCATCCCTGAACTGATGGGGGAATCTTACTAAAGTAGTGGACATTTCTGAATGGGCCTGACACTCTTCTAAGAGCAGAAGAACATGGCTTTAAGCAGGGTGATTTTAATTCTTTGAGTGCTCACGGCTTTGTAATGTGGAGTGTGGGTTACAGTACTCAGACAAGGCCCACATTGATGTTTAACAAAAGGCTTCTATATTTTAATGCAAATCTAAGGACTATCCATGGTCTAAGTTCACAGAAGACTATTCAAAACCTTAAAATTCCATGAAACATAAATAACACAGAAGCCTACATTGAAGCCCTTTGTAATATTCACATTTTCCCCTAATCTGAAAAGAAATAGCGTCTCTCTGTCAAACACCAGAGCTGGATGTAAACGTGGTGCTGACGACCCTTTTGGTTTTACACATCTTTTAGCTTTCAACAACAGGTAGATTCCTTACCTATCATAATCCTAAACGAGTTAAAATAGCCTTCTTGTACAAACTGTTACAAATGTTTATTTAAAAGTGCAATTTAAAAGTTAGCTGGGCAAGCACATCACTGGGAATAACAAAACCAAAAGGGATCCAAAAATCAAGATCCCAAAGAAGATGAACAACCCAGGATTTTGTTTTTAAGTTGGCGTGCTAAGGAATGCACAGAAAGGCAAAGCAAGGGAGGTCAAAGGTCAAAGTCTGTCCAGATGCTGCTCTTCACAGCACAGAGATGACCGAGCGGCAGCTCCTTGGTGAAAGGCCGGCCCTGGGCCTGACAGCAACTTTAACACCAGGTTATGCATCATCGGGGATGTTATAAAATCCTCTACATACGCGCACATCTGAAGCGTCTACAACGTCACCCGAAGCCTGAAGCTTAGTGTCAGCAGTTCGGTCTCTTCCACCCAATCCACGTCTGTCAGTGGAGCTGGACTGGCTGGCTATTCAAATGCACGATGGCGTCAAGGGGCTTCTTAGAGCACGAAGTCTCAAGTTCTCTTACCCGCCCACACTGTTACTCACAGAATGAGGGACGTCTGGTCCGGAACCAGTCTTTTGGCATCAGGACAGTGTCTACACAGATGTAACAAATGTCCGAGCCCTCCACCTCACTCTGGGTGCCACTGGAGGAAAGGCAGCTGAGGAGAAGGCATGTGCCGCCAACTGGGAACTGCTAGGCTGTGTACCCCTGTGTGGAGGGGCACTAACGATGCCCCGCACCTCTGGGGAGAAATCCCTGGGACGGACAGTCAGCAGCTCTGGCCTGGCCTCTGGCGACATTGCCAGCCTCTCCTTAAGCGGCACCAACACAGGTGCTGCCGCCCTCAAGTGCCTCTGTCCATTACAGCCATTTGTCGTCAGCACCCCCAACCCTCCAGGGACTTCACTATTCCCGCTGCTCAGCCCGGCCACAAACACATCTGGAAAAGCAATTTCATCTCAGCTCTTACCCAGCAAAAAGAAACACTGCATTTCTGTCACGAAGTGTTTCTGAGCCTTGTGTCCTCATCAACGGCCAGCTCTCAGGGGCTAAGAGACAACAGCAGTGGGAAACGTCCATCCCCAAACGCCCTCATCCTTGCCAGGCTTCTTCTGAAGGACAGCGGCACCCACCATCTAAGCAGGGAAAGGGCCGGAGCAGAAGGACGGGCTGCCAGAGAGCAGCAGAACAGCGGCAGTGAGTGGGGCTGTCCTTCCTTCTGACGACTCAGTCTTCCTCAAGGAGCGAGGACCAGTAAGGCAAAGCAGTGGCTCGCTGTCCTCAGAACCGAGGGGCAGCGGGCGTCTACTCTCCAGCCTGGAGCGCGGGTCACCTCTCTCCTCTTCCAGCCTTGCCCTTCCCGCGCTGGGGAGAGGCTGTCTCAGCCGTGGAGTCACACAGAGGAAGGGGCAGAGGTGTGTCGGGGAGAGGAGCGTGAGTGGCGGAGTGCTTGGTCCTCCTCTCCCCGGGTCCGAGTGCAGAAAGGCCTGAGGAGGCCGACGTCACAGCACCAGGAAGAGGAGCAGCACGACCAACAGGATTGCGAAGAGGATGGCGATGGCACACCACTGGCGCCGATCTGGAAGGCAGGACACAGAGATGACCTCCCGGGGTTAGGCACTCCCTCCCTCCCGGGGACGCAGGTTCTCAAACATCAACAGCAGAGGAGGAACAGAGCGGCCCCGGCCCCGGCCCCGGCCCCGCTGCTGTGAGCCTGAGGGCTGCACTCCATCTCCACCTCTGCCACAAGTGCGGGCCGAGTCCAGGCCTTAGCTGATGGCCACGGCCCGTGGCTCTCCTGGTGGTCTGGGCGCCGGTGGAAAGGCTGCTGGCACTAGTGTGGCAGCCAAGCCCACCTGCTGCTGCCACGGGTTCTCCAGAAGAATGTAACTCAGCAGTGCACACGCTCTCTGTCAGTGAGGACGTGAGAGAGCGCAGAGGGGTGAAAGCCAGGGCTGTCACTTGAGGAAACGACAGCAGAGAACGCAAGCTCCCACGACAGAACGAGAAATTCCGTACCACCCCTAGTCAGGTAAGACTCCTCAACCAGTCAGTGTGTTCAAATGGCCTGCACCGTGTATCTGTGAATGAAGTCAGTGTCTTCGGTAACCTTCAGCCCTACCAACACTTGGGAACAACTGGTACAGGATACAGAGGCTGGACTCCTCTCTATGGGTGAGAGCAGGGAAGCCCTCGCCAAGACAGAAGGACAGGGATGCCTGCTGCAGCTCACCATGCTGGTGGGCTATACCAGCTGCCCCACTGGCCCGTGTGAGGGTTTAATAACGACTATACCACAAGCTGGCAGGGCCAAGCTTGAGATGCTCAGACACCATCATCATTAGGACACGAAAGTAACTTGGAGAGAGGTGGACCATGCAAGTGGCATCTCCACTGGCAAGTCCCAGTGGAGGAAACAAAAGGATGTGACTAGGGAGCTAGGCATGCTGGCATGCTGTTAGGTCAGCACTAGGAAGGCTGAAACAGGAGGATTCCCACAAGCTGGCAGCCAGCTTGGGCTACGCAAGTACCAAATCAGCCAGAGCTATACAAACTCTGCCAATAAACAAAAGGATGACTGAGTATGCAGACTGTCCACTGCACTGGCGTGAGGACCGAGTCCAGTACCCTGAGCACAAGTCAAAATAAGGCATGGCAGCAGGAAGCTGGACCCTGGGGCCGGTGGGTAACCTTGGGACTTCACTGGCCAGCCAGTGGAGCAGAAATGACAAGTTTTCGGCCCCAGAAAATAAAAAAACGAATAAAGGAAAGTGGCAGGGAAGACAGCCGAAGCTGGTCTCTAGCCCCCACCTGCACACACACAATGTCACAGTCTCTGACATGTAGCTGAAGCGGCAGATCGAAACAGCAGAATAAAGGGGTGAGGCTGGCCAAGTCTACCGGAGAGCCTACAGATTCAGTAACCACAGTTTGATGATCATCCTGTAGCATGGTCTGAATTTAGGAAAAATAACCATTAAAACTCTCCACAGAGCAAAACATGTACTTAGTAAATGCCACGGACATCAACATCTTAGAACTCTTCAGTGGCCAAAAGATGGGAATGCCAATAAGCACAGGCTGTCCCTTTTTACCGAACCAACACCTTGTCTACCCAGACACACCAGAAACTCCCTGAGTAACTAAGACCCTGAGTCTACCTATTCCTTTTTGTCTGAAGCAGGACTGCTCTGAAAGGTGTGAGAAGGCGGAGTAGGCCTCTCTCAGGGAGCAAACGCCAGTGTGGGAAGCACTAGACAGCATCCTCTGATCTCTCTAGAGATACTGGACTACCGTTTCCAGTCCAGTGGAGGACTGACCCTTATCACTCGGTCCTAACAAGAAAAGGGGACCACAGTAACAAAAACAGTCCTTCTTCTTCTCTCTTCCAGAGAAGTAAAGCCACAGGAGGGCAGGCTGCACCCCTAACAACAGAAAACCTACAGACAAATAGTGGGACTCACACAGCAGAGCAGAGCCCTCCCCTACCTGAGCCCCACCCCCACCCCTGCCAGCAGTGACCACCAGAACCAGTGTGGAGCTGGGAACCCTGAGCTGTCACCGACCAGCTGCTGGGGAGTCTGTGTGGCCAAGTCCAGATCTCACCAGTTAAGGGAGACACATACTGCTGAGCTTTACTTCCAGAAGCTCAGGCAGCCGGACGGAATGGGGGAGAAGTGGAAACGTGGTAAGATGCTGGCTATGCCATGCTCCTCACTAGATCATGACCAACGTACACATGGGCCAAACATCACTGTAGTTCATAAACAGGTACAAATATGTGCTAATTCCAAAAGTTAAATGAACCAGGGGTTTTTAGAGAAGCACAGCTCTCCTGTATGACAGGATAATGATGGATACATATATTTTTGTCAAAACCTATGCATGGGCCTGGTGTGGTGGTGCACACCTTTAATCCCAACACTGGGAGGCAGAGGCAGGCGGATCTCTGTGAGCTGGAGGCCAGCCTGGGCTACCGAGTGAGATCCATGCCAGCCAGGGTTGCACAATGACACCCTGCCTCAAAAACAAACAGAAGGAGGAGGAAGAGGAGGAGGGTGAGGAGGAGGAAGGTGAGGAGGAGAGTGAGAAGGAGGAGGGTGAGGATCAAGGCCAGTTGTGATGGAGCACACCTTTAATCCCAGCACTTGGGAGGCAGAGGCAGGTGGATCTCTGTGAGTTCCAGGACAGCCTGGTCTACAGAGTGAGTTTCAGGACAGCCTGGTCTACAGAGTGAGTTCCAGGACAGCCTGGGCTATGTAGAGAGACCCTGACTCAAAAAACAAACAAAAAGAAGAGGAGGAGGAGGAGGAGGAGAAAGAGGAAGAAAGGAAGAAAGCTTATTAATATAAAAATGTAGTAATAAATCACTGTTATTAAAAACAACTGGCACTTACCCAGGGCAAAGGCAGAAGATAATTGCCTCCTCCTTCCTCCCCCACAACCTCACACATACTTCCTGCACCTCCCTGGCCAGTTCCCCATCATTCTAAGTGCCAGATTTCCTAGACGCTCTCGGCCTCTGACAGTCCAGATTCTGTATCCCCAAGGGCTTTCTCCTGAAGCTCTTGACAGAGCACAGGCCTAGTCAAGCAGACCACCACAGGAGCTCACAGGGCCCAGGCCTGCACTCTCAAGGCCACTTCCCTTTGAAGTGCTGAGCTGCTTCTACAGGGCATGAATGAGGCAACCCTAGGGAGCTATTACCCTAGCAGACAGACATCTGAGCTCTTCCGGTATGGCTCCAAGCACACCAGGAAGGGCCCTAACTACAGCAGCAGGCCTGCGCTCCACCACCAAGCTGCACCTACAGCAGAGTGTGCTGCAGTTGAGCGGAACAAAAGGAACTCCAATGTAGTTTCCTTCTCAAAATATTTTCCTGTCTTCAAGAGAAGAGATGAATCCCAGACTGCTGATGGGGGCGGGGTGGGGGGGTGGGGGGTGGTCCTCGGCTTTATTCAAAGGAGTATCTTTCCTCTGGGTGAGAGAAAGGCAAATTAGTGTCTCTCTTGGGTCATTTACAAAGTGAGGGTGGTGTCTTGGCCCATTTCTCCCTTGAAGCAGCCGGCCAAGAATGGCCGGGAGGACCTGGCTCTAAGTTGCTGCTGATGTGGGCTCAGGGCTGCCCCCGCCCCCAAACTCTGGTGCTTTCAGACTGTCTTTACATACAGGTTTGAGAACAAAGCAAGGAACTTAACCAAAAGTTATGGAAGAGAAAGAGACAATTACAACACACTGAAGTGATACCATAGCAGTATTTCTTTGGTAGCAAGCAAAAATGAAAATGAAGGGTCTTTCATGCTAACTGCTCTATTACCTGGCTCTTTTCTGTACACAAATATAACCAAACATCTCATGTTGTTCCCAAACTTTTCTTTCTGGAAACAGCAGAATAAAGCATAAGAAAGCCTTGGTGTTACAAACACACTGCCAGGACTTTTCTAAACTATTCACACCCAGAATGCTAGAAAACAAGAGACATGGGCCACCTCTGTTCACCCACTCTTCCCTGGCAGACGTGAGGCAGGAGTAGCTACTTGAGGCTACAGCTAACCCACAGACCAGTGAGAGGCCAGTGCTGAAACTGGTTACGGAACACTCCCTGAAGACAACTTTCTCGGTTTTTAAATAAAAGGGTACTGAGGCGATGCCTTGGTGGGTAAAGCATCTGCTGGTTAAGCATGAGCCTGAGTTTGAATCCCACAGCCATGTAAACCCCAAGAGAGTGGCATGTGCCCATAACCCCAGTGCCAGGGGGGTGGGGGGGGAGGGCAAGGGAGCAGAGACAGGTGGATCAGCGAGCTCACACTGGTCAGCCAGTCTAGCCAAAAGGGTGAGGCCCGAGTTAATGAGAGACACAGTCTCAAAAAAGCAAGGCTGAGAGGCTGGCGAGAGGGCTGAGTGAGGAAAGGTGCTTGCTGCCAAGCCTACAGCCTGAGTTAGATCTCCAGACCCCACAGACGTCCCCAAGCTGTCTTCTGACCTACACGTGCATACACATACACAATAAATAAATAAATAGTAAAATTAAAGTCATCTCTGGTCTACACACACACACACACACACACACACACACACACACACACACACACACCTACCTGCAAAAACACATGTACACACATGTATACCACACACAAACATAAAATTTACAAACAAATACATAAATAAAGTAGAGGACTAACTATATAGGTAGAGGACAGAACAGAGGAACCAGACAGTGCATTCAAACTCTTCTCTAATTCCAGGGAAGATACACTGAGCTGGTGCCTGCTTCCTGTATACTCACAGCTTAGCAAAGAACCTGCTTGAAGCATAAAGGCATTTGGCCTCGCGAGAAAGGAAGTAACTCTACATATGAGTCTCTTTTTGGTTTGGGTTTGATGGTTCCTTGTCCTTTGGGGTCTTTTCTACCTTGCAACAGTTAAAAATATTTACAGAGCGTAGATACACTGTTAAACACCTTTGCAATATTATTCATTCAATGCTCACCTTTCTATGGTGCTTAGCACAGACCACCAGGCCTGCTCATACCTGCTCAAGTGCTCTACCACTGAGCTATACTACCACCTTCAATTTCTTAGGTAAGAAATGAAGCCCCAGACACTATTCTGTAACTCAGCTGGAATGTGAACTGCTGCAGATCACACAGGCATTTGCATTGTAATCTTCTATGTCACATGTGCCCGGCAGCAGAAAGGCACAGAGGAATGAGATGTCAGGAAGGGGAAAGAAAGGGTCCCTTGATGAGAGGCATCTTATGGCCCCAAAGTACTCAAATTACCTCCAGAAACATCTCAGTTCTTCCTTTCACCAAGCAATTACCCCTCCACCCCCCCAGATAAAGAGGAGATACTGGATAGTGATTTAAAATATCATTTCCTGTCTGACAAGGAAGGCGATTTATAGTGATCAAAAAACTGTAGTCATTAGAAAACATCTTCAAACACAGAAACTGACATGAAAACTTACTTCTCCACCCCCATCCTGGTACACATTTGCTAGGATGTCACTTTATAAGGCTTTCAGAGTCTAAAGTAGGAGGTATTTTTCTAACGATGAAGAAAGATAGTTCAGCCGGGCAGTGGTGGCGCATGCCTTTAATCCCAGCACTCGGGAGGCAGAGCCAGGCGGATCTCTGTGAGTTCGAGGCCAGCCTGGGCTACCAAGTGAGTTCCAGGAAAGGCGCAAAGCTACACAGAGAAACCCTGTCTCGGAAAACCAAAAAAAAAAAAAAGAAAGAAAGAAAGAAAGAAAGATAATTCAAAGGAAGGAACAACCTGGTATATCAGCCGTGGCTCTAAGTAAGTACCCCAGGGCCAGTGAGATGCCTGCTGCCATGCCTGATGCACGCATGTGCTGTGGAAAGTGTGCATCCATATGCATATGCACGCTAAAATAAAAATATCAAAGAAAAAAATTTAAGTTCTCCAATGCGGCAAGAGAAATAGAAAAATGTAAAGAAAAGGACTTTGTAATTGCAAGGAAGTTTCTCCACCATGAGAATATTCAACAAGTGTTGGGCACAAGACCCTTCAAGATCCAAAGTTTGATCACGAGCAGTTATGGTCTCTACACACGAGCGTTCCATTTATGACCCTAAAGTAACAGAGACAAATATGCCACAGGCAAGGGAATGTCACAGAGCGTTAAGCAGGAACTCCCAAGAGTAGTTCCACATACATACCACTGGTCATGTGAGACACTTTTGCAAGTTTCTTCATCACACTGTCCAGTCGAGACTGAGTGCTCTCCAGCTCATGAGAGAAGTCATCCAGCATGCTGGAGAGGGGGAGGAGGAGGAGAAAGCAGGCGGTGAGCAGAAACTTGTCTTTGCTATGGAGGAAGTTAGGTCTGGGCCTCCATCTCCATAAAGACAAAAAGGGGCCTCTGGGACTCAGAATTGCATTCTACTACCCCAAATCCTTGGGACAATGTCACATTTTCATAAATTTGGGAAATCTATGGGTTTTTGGTTTTTAAGATAAGTTACATATGCTATAGATTAGTCAACACCCCTTAGCAAGGTCTGGCGTAGTTCCCATAATCAAGCATGCTTGTATGTCTGCAGAACCCATGAGGAATCACAGCTACAGACAGTTCAGCTGAGGTTTTTCCATCACACGAATCTGCTGCAAATTAAATCCTTGGATTTGTAGATTTCCGATTCACAGACAAGGCGGCTCGACTCCGAGCATACAACACTGACAGCTCAGGCCATCAGAGAGCCGGCCTCTGTCTCTTGCTGCCTGGAACAAGGCACCCTATGCAACTCTGAGACTCTTTTGTCACCTGTAAACAGGGTGACTCTACCAACCCGGTTCCTGTTGAGGGCTGCCTGTGAGAACCTCACAGTACACAAAAGCACTTTATGTCAGATTCTCCTTTAAAGCACTCTATCTTATTGTAAGTTAAAAGACAGAGGCCTGACATCCCTGATGGTGTATGGAGTAGCGTGTGGATGGTGGATGTGTGTGTGTGTGTGTGTGTGTGTGTGTGTGTGTGTGTGTGTGTGTGAGAGAGAGAGCGAGCGCGCCCATCTCTTCAGACAAGCGGTGTTTCTCCGAGGAGAACTGGAGAACCAGCTCAGGAGGCCACTGCTATTGTTATCCAGCACGGCGCTGGATAACACAGCACTGAGCACTGTACTTGTATTCCAGCAACTCTTACTTCGTGAATTACTGCACATTCCAGACTTCAACTTCTGACTAGAACATGATTAGTCTGAGGCTCAAATTAACACACCAATGAGTACCAGGGCCTTCCTACAAAGACCTTACTTACTTTAACAGTGTCACTGGCAGCTAGAAAGCCTTGGTCTGGGTGCAAGCCCACAGAGGACACACGGCAGTCCCTCGGGATCTGAAGCCACCAACCCCTCATTAAGTTACTACCAAACTCCACACCGACAACTAAGTCAGTCAGTCTTTGTTCTACACCTGACTTCTCAGATTCAAACATGTTTAGCTCGTCTCAGACTCTGGCAGCACTTGGGTCCTGTAGCTAGCAGGCATCTCCAGGCCAAGCACTGGAAAACAAGAGCTACTTGTGTGTGCTGGGTGTGACTTTTCTTTCTAAAGCTGACACAGGCATGTCACTCAGCCTTCAGTCAAGTACAGCCACAGCCAAGGTTCTGCCCAACAGAAAGACCATGAGGGTCACAAATGCCACTTTGCATTTCTGACAACTATGCTTTTAAAGAGGTTTAGAAAAATTGAAGCAGGATCTCTCCTGCAGTCCAGGCTGGTCTCACATTTACAAGATGATCCCGAACTTCTGATCCTTCTGCTTCTACCCCCTAGTTGTGTGAACCACCACACCTGGCTAATGCACTGCTGGGGACCGAGTGCAGGGTTTCGTGCACACTCAACTGAGCTACACCCCCAGGCTCTGGGATTCATTTTTAACACTGTTTATCATCTACTATATCCAAAATATCATTTCCACATGTAATATAAAGATTGTTAATAAACTCTTCCGCCCCTTTGCAAACTGTAGCATTCACTTGATGCTCACAGCACATCTTAGCTCAGTCTGGACACATTCCACATGCTCAGTAGCCACATGAGGTTGGTGGCTGGTCTCCTATACTGCATAGAGATCAGCCATATTTCTTCTCTTTTATTTTTACCAGATACAGGAACTCCCAGTTTAAATAGGAAAACAGTCTGAGAGGGGATTTTATGTTAAACTATGGTTCTCTTCTGTTCCCTCGGTCTTCCCCTGACTTCAGCTTCTTCTGGTACTTTCTCCACTTCTGAAGTAGCATGCTTGTATCTTACGATGCTGACTTTTGTTCTTAGACTTCCCGTGATGGTGCAGCACTATTAGATTAGGATTTAGCTCTAGTCCATGTAATCCCCACCTCTGAATCCTTCCCACTTCTCTGATACAGTGTGACACTATTGGATTAGATCAATACTCAACATTAAGTCACCTAAGTGCAGACTAGTCACAGCTGAGGTGTGGAGTCACACTGCTTCTTGTTCACTCCCACTGGCTCAGGGGCAGCTTTCTTTGGCCTACTGAATCCACAGCCAGCCGCCAGCCTGCCGTCCATCATCTAGACCGGTATAACTGATGTTTTCTGTTCTATGTTCTCTGGAGGTTTTAAATCCTTGCAAAAACATTTCTGTTACTGCTGTGGGGACTTTGAAAGGAATGGAGCTACAGACTCCTCACCAGCATCTTTAACGAGCTGTATCTCAGGTTGTCTCGATTCTCACACTGCCTCACCAACAACGTGGCTCAAGCCCCTTTCCATTTAAAACAGAAACTCAACCTGTGTGTTTAGGTACCTGGTACTCTAGATTCCCATCTGGCATACCCACCTGGCTCCACTCTGGAATATCATCCGAATCCCAGCTCCGGCTCATGCCATCACTCCAAACTCCACCCCGCCCCCTCCACCACACTGAAGACTGACAAAGCCCTCCCTGCTGTCCACTGACTCCCTCAGGACTTCTGCTCCCTCTGTCCCCATGCTAGACACTCGGCGCCTTGTTCTGTGCACACCTGTACCTCTGAACCTCCCTCCTGCACACCTGCTGACATCTCTGCAGAGTCACCGGCTCACTCAGCCACCTACCTTCTCAGCATCCCACAGCTTTCGGCTGACCCTCTCTCCTGGAAAAGACAGGGCTCTCCAGTCAGCTGAACGGGCCTATCACTGTAACAGTGGCTCTCTCCCGACCACCACCACGAGACTACTTCCTTCATCCGTACAATGCAGACACTCTGAATGGCAGGCAGAGTCTACCCAGCTCACTCCTGTATCCCCAGAGCCTCCCAGACAACCTGGTGCAGACAAGTACCCAGGAAGAACTAAGAGTGAGCATGTGTAACAGTGAAAATTAAGAGCGGGTAGAGTTCCTGAACCATCTTAGTAGACACCCCCCCACCCAGGAAAAAACGTAAAATGGTATTATGTGGCAGCATTCAAGAAAGCTCTCTTTGTTTATCATTCTTTTAGAGTGTAAAAGACAAGGCTCTTAAGCAAAAACAACTTTTAAGAGTTAGGTTCCTTTTTTTTTTCTGTTTTGAGAGGGAAGATTGTTTTTGCTAGTTAAAATCAAATTTAAACGTTCTTTTATAAGATTATAATTTATGTTTAGTGTAGTAGGGTCCTGGGATGACAGCTGAGATTCCTAACGCCACCTTCCACAAGTCTCTTCATGCCTGTCATCCTCATCAGAGCACTGTCTCCAGAGTCTACAGCCCTATCTGTATGCCTCAAGAATCTATTCAGAGAGCCAGGCCATGGTGGCGCACACTTTAATCCCAGCACTCAGGAGGCAGATGCAGGAGGCTCTCTGTGAGTTCAAGGCCAGCCTGGTGTA